CTGCTCCAAGGAGTTAGGGCTGTCACCGTGATGGAAGGATGTGACCTCCTCCAGGAGGCTTGGGGCCAGGACTGCAGTGAACGAAGGTGTCCTGCTTTGAATGTGACAAATCCTGCAAAATGCATCATTGTCCTAAATCCCGCCAACCTTTGAATGTGTCCTCATGTTGCTCATGTAGATCTGAGACTGACTGACCGTAATTATCTGAGTCTAAAACCCAACTCCCTTTCATATACAAAGGGCAGCAAAACATGTGTGGAAAATTGAAATAAAAGATAAGTTTTTATTAAATTTTATTAAATTTAAATCCATGTACAGATTTTTTTTCAAAATAACTATTTTCCATGAACTTTTCAAAGATTCTTTGTATAGGCACAAAATATTTTTATATAGCTTGGAAACACAGTTAATTTCCTTAGAATACAATCACCATGTAAGTGTGAAGACAGTCGTCCATTGTTTTGTTCAGGATTTCACCCAGACTTGTTCACCAATTTGGAGAATCGCGTCAGTGACAACAATGTGTGGCAGTAGTTGTCAGTACAACTTCTGGCATTTGTCTGTGTTTGTCATTGTTGTAATTTTTTTTAAGATTTATTTATTTATTTGAAAGAGTTACAGAGAGAGGTAGAGACAAAGAGAGAGAGGGGTTCACTGCTGGTTCACTCCCCAGATGACCGCAACAGCTGGAGCTGCGCTGATCCAATGCCAAGAGCCAGGAGCTTCCTCTGGGTCTCCCACGTGGGTACAGGGGCCCAAGCACTTGGGCCATCTTCTACTGCTTTCCCAGGCCATAGCAGAGAGCTGGATCGGAAGAGGAGCAGCCAGAACTAGAACCGGTGCCCACATGGGATGCTGGCACTTCATGCCAGGGCTTTAACCCACAGCACTACAGCACTGGCCCCTGTTGTAATCTTTTTTTAAAGATAATTTCTTTATATGAAAGGTAGAATTACAGAGAGAAAGAGAGAGAGAGGGAGGGTGAGGGTGAGAGAGATAGCTTCGCTTTGCTGGTTCACTCCCCAAATGACTACAATGGCCAGGGCTGCACCAGGCTGAAGCCAGGATCCTGGAACTCCATCCAGCTCTCCCAGACGGAAGGCAGGAGCCCAAATACTTGGGCTGTGTTCTGCTGCTTTTCCCACGCCATTAGCAGGGAGCTGGATGGGAAGCGGAGCAGCCAGATCTCAAACCAGCGCTCAGTTGGGATGCCTACACGGAAAGAAGCGGCTTTACCCACTGCGCCCCATCACTGGCCCCACTGGATTGATAGCGAGTCTATATTTGGGGGCAAATACCTGATATTTCTTTATACGTCCGAGTGCAGTCGTATCCAGCACCTATTATTTTATTTATAACCGTGGCCAGCCCTCTGGATCTGCAGGTCCCACGTCGGAGAAGCATGTGCCGACTTCCGAGGCATTATTCCCTAAACGCATCACTTTTACACTGCGTTCGCACGGCGTGGGAGGTGACGTTTGCCATTTAGAGACGCTGACAGGCTAGGGGAGGACTGCATATGCAAATATTCCTCCATCTTTCACGGGGGACTGCAGCATCCACAGATCTGTGAGTCTAAGAGGGTCCCGGAGCCAGGACCCCTCAGTTCCCTTGGGAGGACTGTGCACTGCTACTGATTATTATTTTATTTGTAACTATAGCAATTGTTCCTTGTCAGTTACCACCCTTCAGTTTCTCCTTTATACCACAGAGGCAATATATTGTCTTTTAGAGAAGTGATACAGAATATTTGTTGTAAGGAGGTGGAGCGATTAGACACGCTGAGAACCCCATACTGGAATGAGTGAGCCCTTGGCCAGAAACTGTAAACCCTGATGGAGAATTTTGGCTCTGCCCTCGACTCTGCACTTGTCACGAGCTCCCTTGGATTGCCCCCTCCACCCTAAAATAGGCATAACTTCCACCTTGAACATTTCAGCACCTGCTAGCCTGAGACGGTATAGGCAGGCAGCTAGGTAGAGCCTGCCCCACTTAATTCCACCTCCCACTTGTCAATCAGAACATGCGCTTTCCCAGGATGCCTCTGTCTCATCCAGGCCCAAAGAGGGGAAATACTCCGTGCTGTTGAGCTCCACGTGGGATTTTACAGAGGTACCTTAAAGCTCCCAGGGGACTTAGGTGTGGCGAGACATGCACCCCCCAGCTCCCAAAAAGAGGTTCTGGGAGGTGCTTTCTCTCTCTTCCTCCAAGACCACGGTTGGAGGAGAGGCCGGGAGCTCTCCCGGTTTCTCCTGGTCCACCCTCTTCTGCTTCTAGGCCTACTGTGCACTCTTGACGGATGTCTGTGTGGGGGGCAGCCCTTGCTCACGTGTGTGTGTGGGTGTGTGTGTTTGCTTTCACACCTTTTAAGTGAGATTTACTTCATGTGTGTCAGCACTAAGAGTTCCTATCTTTGTGCATGACAAAGACCTGGGATGAAAATTAAACGCCCGCTCCCCTACATCAAGCCCAGGGAGACCACGGAAATACCACAACTCAGTGCAGCCTACAAATAGAACTTGCTAGTGGGGATTAAACTGAGTGCTTCACAATGCGCTGGTCATCTGCCGGTGTGTAAATTTGGGCTTTAAATGGTTTGCCTAAAAGCACTTGACCAAAGAGGATAGCCGAGCCAAATGGCGGATAAGCTCATGAGAAGGAGCTCCTGTCCCCTGGGAAATGGAAATTAAAGCTACAAGGTACAAGGTAATACAGCTAACACAAGAAGTAACATGCTGGATGTTGTCCAGAACACGGAACACCGGACACTCTCATAAATTGCTGATGGAATTAAAATTAGTACAATACTTTGGAAAGCTGGTAGATTTCATTCAGCAATTCTATGACCCAACAATTCTACTCCAAGTTGTAAAGCCCCCCAAAACAGGTACAGGCAAGCACTGTGGCACGGTGGGTTAGGCTGCCACTTGCCGTTCTGGCATCGCATGTCAGAGTGCTTGTCTCGGTCCTGGCTGCTCCACTTCCGATCCAGCTCCCTGCTAACACACCTTGGGAAAATGACCCAAGCACTTGGGCCCTGGCCGCCCACTGGATGTCACTCCTGGCTTCAGCCTGGCCTAGCCTCAGCTGTTGTGGTCATTTGGGGAGTGAACCAGCAGGTGGAAGTCTATCTCTATCTCTTCCCCTCTGTCTGTTACTCTGCCTTTCAAATAAATCAATAGATCTTTTTTTTTTAAAGGGTACATATATTTCCCAGAGGCTACATACAAGAATGTTCAAAAAAGCACTCTAATAATATTCCCAAACTGAAAATACTCCCGAGTCTACCAACAGTAAAGTGGATAAATTGTGGTGTATTTCTACAACAGCCTACTGCTGCAGTAAGAAAAAAAAATAAGATGTAATAATTTAGATTAATTTCACAATGTTTAGCAAAAGTCATATATGTGAGTACATACTATTTGATTTCTTTTTTTCTTTTTTTTTTTTTTTTTTTTGACAGGCAGAGTGGACAGTGAGAGAGAGAGAGACAGAGAGAAGGGTCTTCCTTTGCCGTTGGTTCACCCTCCAATGGCCGCCGCGGTCGGCGCGCTGCGGCCGGCGCACCACGCTGATCCGATGGCAGGAGCCAGGAGCCAGGTGCTTTTCCTGGTCTCCCATGGGGTGCAGGGCCCAAGCACCTGGGCCATCCTCCACTGCACTCCCTGGCCACAGCAGAGAGCTGGCCTGGAAGAGGGGCAACCGGGACAGAATCCGGCGCCCCGACCGGGACTAGAACCCGGTGTGCCGGCGCCGCTAGGCGGAGGATTAGCCTAGTGAGCCGCGGCGCCGGCCACTATTTGATTTCTTCTAGGTGAAATTTAAAAGCAGACAAAAGTAATCTATGCTATTGGCTTAGTCCTTTTTCTGTTGCTATAACAAACCTCTGAGACTGGGACCAGCACTGGGACACCAGCTTGCCACCTGGGCAGCCCGTATCTGAGTCCTAGTTCAATCCCTGGATGCTCTATTTCCAGCCTGGCTCCCTGCTAATGCACCTGGGAAAGCAACAGAAGATGGCCCAGGTACCACATGGGAGGCCCAGATGGAGTTCCTGGCTCCTGGCTTTGGTTGTCCGAGAGCATGGAACCTGCGGATCTGCTGGGCACCTGTGAGGTCGTCTTGCTGTGTTGGTAGCATGGTGGAGTACAGCACAAGACGACACAGGAATGCCACTGTTGCCATCATGGGACCCCATTCCCACGACCCATCTCCCCATGACCTCCTAAAGGCCCACCTCCAAACGCTGTTAGCAAGTGAACTTGAGGATTAAGTTTCCAACACGTGAACTTTTGGGGAACACTTGCAAACCACAGCAGGCATCAGAAATCAGAATAGCAGTTAGATGGTGGGTGCTGAGCCCCGGGGGCAGGTGGTGGTGGGGAACGTGACAGGCACGTGAAGACGCTGATCCTGTCTATTCCTAGGTCTGGGTGCTGGTGGTACGAGTGGCTCAGTTTATGAGAATTATTTAAGCTGAACATTTATGATTTGTGTGCTTTCCTATTTTTTTTTTTATTTTATTTGTTTGAAAGGTAGAGTTCCAGAAAGAGATAGGGAAAGACAGCTGTCTTCCATTTGCTGGGTCACTCCCCAAAAGGCCCAAATGAGCCAGGCCAAAGCCAGGAGCCAGAAGCTTCTTCTGGGGCTCCCACATCAGTGCAGGGGCCCAAGCACTTGGGCCATCTGCTACTGCTTTCCCAGGCCATTAGAAGGGAGCTGGATCGGAAGTGGAGCAGCTGGGACTTGAACTGGTGCTCATATGGGATGCTGGCACTGGAAGCGGTGGCTTAATCCACTATGCCACAGCAGCGGGCCCTATCGCTTTCCTATTTTAGTTATAACTCCTTTAAAGTTGGTGAAACTAGAAAATAATTGTGCTGCTCCGTTCTCACGCTTTGTCTTCTCCTCTTCTGTGGCCACGCCCAGGCGCATTTAAAGCTCTGTTTGTGACCAAAGAGCAGAACAATGCTAAAGGCCCTTCCAGGTCAAGGCTGTGATGTCCGCTCCAAGGTAACTGGTCCTGGAGCCTGAGACCAAGGCTGTGGTCAGACCTCCTAGAGAGGCGTCTGCGGGTGCTGTTGGTTCTCAGAGTTTTCCTTCTCCTGCTGCGTGACAAGGAGTGAGGTGGACCTGAGATGAGACTTGTGCAAACACCTCCTGAACTGTAAGTTCCCCTCCCTCCTCCTTTCCTTTCATCCTTCCTTTGAGAGTGTGTGTGTGTGGGGGGGGGAGAATCTTCCATCAGAAAGGGGGAGGGGGAGGGAGGGAAAGAGAAAATAAATCTTCAATCCACTGGTTCACTCCCCAGGTGGCCACAACAGCCTGGGTTGCACCGGCTGCTTTCCCAGGCACATCAGCAGGGAGCTGGATCAGAAATGGAACAGTCTGAACTTGAACCAGTGCCCATAGGGGATGTCAGCGCCACATGGTGGCCATGGCTTTACCCACCACACCACAGTGCTGGCCCCTTTTCTTTCTTCTTTCTTTTATTTTTAACTGAGGGCAAGAGGGCCAGCTTTCTGGTGCAGCAGGTTAAGTCACTGCCTGCAACACCAGCCAGCATCCCGTTTCAGTGGCTGGTTCAAGTCCTGGCTGATCCACTTCTACTCCGGCTCCCTGCTAATGCAGAGGAGCGTGGCCCAAGTGCGCGGGCCCGTCCCACCCACGTGGGAGACCCTGATAGAGCCTGGGCTCCTGGCTTGCAGTCATCTGGGGAGTGAACCAGTGGATGGAAGATCTCCCTATGTGTCTCCCTCTCTCTAGAACTCTGCCTTTCAAATAAAGAAATCTTTTTTAAATGCTGTAAATAAAGAGAGAAAGGATAGCTGTGAGGTCTGGCTTAGGGAGGCAGATGAGAACGGTAAACGTGCAAAAAAAATAAATAAATAAAAAATAAAAACAGCAATGTAGTGTTCTCCAATGACAGCTACTTTCCTTCTGCCTCCCGCCGGGGTCTGTTCTTGTCGCCGCTCTCCGCCGCTAGAGGGCGACCCTGCGTGGAGCTGAGCGCCGGAGGCTTCCGGTCCGGCTTTGAGGCCCGGCTGGACAGCACTTGAGCTGTGGGCAGGTGGGCAGGGAGGCGGTTCGCACGTGGCACTGTCCCTGTCGTGTGCTGTGAGGCGTGGGGATGGGAAAAGTAGCCCGCTTGTCCCTGTGGCCCTGGGCCGCAAGGTGTGCATCTCCTCTGCAAAGAAGGGGCCTGGGGGCCGGCGCCAGATCCCCGGCTGTCTGCATGAGGCCGAGGGGCTTCCAAACCCGGGCTGTGCACAGCCGCGTTTCCCCTGCCGGTGAGCAATGTCCACTTTCCCTGCATCCAAGCCCCGGAGCCGCATCTTCACACACGTCACAGCCACAGCGACCTAGGGGCCCCTGACTCCTGGGCTTCCCAAATCCTGCTCGCGTCACCAGCACCAAGGACAGCATGGGGTTCCCGGCCCACCCTGGACTTCTTGGGCAAGAATCCCTGGCGGGGGGGGCGTAGAAACTTGTATTTTTAAGCAGGCTCGTGGTATGTACTAACTTCTAGAAGCTCCTGTTTATTTCAGCCTCCTGGTTTGCACAGGAAGAAACAAAGGTCAGAGGTCAGAGGTCAAGGAACTTGCTCAAGGTTGTCTAGCAAGGACTTTAAGACGCTCAGCCCTGACCTCACACCCGCACATGTTTTACTTCTTGTTCTGAGTGCCCAAGAGCTCTGATCAGGTGCTGTGGAGTTTCTGCAGATAGTTGATTGCAAGGATATCACTTAAGATGTATTTGTTTATATGAAAGGCAGAGTGAGAGAGAGAGAGAGAGAGAGGCAGATCTTCCATCATCACTCACCAAACGACCCTCTAGCTTGGACTGGACCAGGCCAGGCCAGGCTGAAACCAGATGCTGGGAATTCCATCTGGGTTTCCTGTGTAGGTGGCAGCGGCCCAAGTGCCGGGGCCATCTTCCGCTGCCTTCCGAGGCACGTTGGCAGGGAGCAGCATCGGAAGTGGGTTAGCCAGGACTCAGGACTCGAACCCGTGCTCTGATATGGGATGTTGGCATCGCAAGCGGTGGCTTAACCCGCTGTGCCACAACACCGCCCTGAGATCTGTTTAAAGCAAACACACAAAAAACTGGTAGCATTTACAACTTCGGATGTGCGTCAGCTTTAAGAAAAACAAACCTGTCTGTAACCGACGCCTGTCCTTTCCACCCTGTACCATAGAGATCGCGGCGGAGTTCCACCGGTAGTGCCCACTTAAATGCTGCGAGCCCCCGGAGGGCCGCTTTGATCCGGTTTATATATTGGGATTCTGTGTAAAACTTCATCTGACAAAGCAATTCTGAGAAAGCGTCATGGCAAACCCCGACTGGAGGCTGCCGGCCTGGGGAAGCGCCCCGGGGGACCTGCTGGAAACAGAGCATCCTCTGGGATCGGCTTTGGGCCGGGGTGTGTGTGTCTGGGAGGGGGAGCGCATCTGGCTTTCGCTGTGCGGTCCTGAGTTGGAAGCACTCAGACTCAGTGACTCGGTCAAGTCCTGGCTCTTGGACACAGGTTGTGTGGGTTGGCTTCCTGGACAGGTTGCTGTAGGGGTGGTGGCTGAGTCCTTTTGTCATTTACGGTCTGGCTGGTGTCTGTCTCTATTTTCAGTCTCTTGGCGTTCTATGCACATTTCCCTTAAGCCTCATCACACCCTGAGATTGGTAGTCCTGGCTCAGCATTATGGATGCGAACCGGAGTTGTGCAGAGGTAGGGGAACTTGTCCAAGGTCAAAACAAAGGAAAAAGCTAGAGCGTGAGCCGTGGGCAGACTGCTCCCAGGGCTGGGTGCTGCATTGGCTGCTGCATTGCCACCTCTGCTTTTCTGTAGCAGTTGACTTTAAATTCACATGAGAATGCAGAAGTCCTAGAATAGCTCAGACAACTTGGAAAGAGAATAACAAAGTTGCAGGGCCAGCACTACCTGATTTGAAGACTTCTTAGAAAACAGTAGTCATCGAGATAATCTGCTATTGACATCAAGATAGATAAGTCAATGGAACTGAATAGAAAATTCAGGCCAGCGCCGCGGCTCACTAGGCTAATCCTCCGCCTAGTGGCGCCGGCACACCGGGTTCTAGTCCCGGTCAGGGCGCCGGATTCTGTCCCGGTTGCCCCTCTTCCAGGCCAGCTCTCTGCTGTGGCCCGGGAGTGCAGTGGAGGATGGCCCAGGTGCTTGGGCCCTGCACCCCATGGGAGACCAGGATAAGTACCTGGCTCCTGGCTCCTGCCATTGGATCAGCGCGGTGCACTGGCCGCGGTGGCCATTGGAGAGTGAACCAACGGCAAAGAAGGAAGACCTTTCTCTCTCTCTCTCTCTCTCTCACTGTCCACTCTGCCTGTCCAAAAAAAAAAAAAAGAAAAGAAAATTCACACACACACCTGGTTTTGGAAAAAGAACCATTGGCATTTAGAAAACATACAAGGGACCAGCACTGTGGTGTAGCAGGTAAAGCCGCCATCTGTAGTGCTGCCATTCCATATGGGTGCCAGTTCGAGACCTGGCTGCTCCACTTCCAATCCAGTTCTCTGTTATGGCCTGGGGAGGCAGTGGAAGATGGCCCAAGTCCTTGGGTCTCTAAGGAAGCTCCTGGCTCCTGGCTTCAGATCAGTGCAGCTCCAGCCATTGCAGCCATTTGGGAAGTGAACCAGCGGATAGAGGACCTCTCTCTCTGTTTCTTTCTACCTCTGTAACTCTGACTTTCAAATAAATAAATAAATCTTGAAAAAAAGAAAACAAAATAATTTATAATAAATAGTTTCAAAAACGGAGGCTGGAACAGTTGAATAGCCATAGTTAAAAAAATGAACTTCACACCTCATGCCATATAAAAAAATTAAGTCAAAATAAAAAATAGATCTACATGTAAAATCTAAAACTATAAAACTTCTAGAAGAAAACTTAGGAGAAAAATCTTTGTAACATTGGATTAGACAATATTTCTTAGATATAACACCAATAGCACAATCAATACAAACATTTTGATAACTTGAACTTGATCAAAATTAAAAATTTAGAGTGGGCATTGTGGTGTATCAGGTTAAGCCTCTGCTTGGGACACATGTATCCCGTATCAGAGTGCTGGTTTGTGTTCTGGCTGCTGCACTTCTGATCCGGCTTCCAGCTAACGTACCTGGAGTTGCGGGGAGGGGGGAACCAGATGATGGCCCAAGGACTTGGGTTCTTGCCACTTACCCACGTGGGAGACCTGGATGGATTTCTTGGCTTCTGGCTTTAAACTGGCCCAGCCTTGGCTGTTGAGGGCATTTAGGGAAGGAACCAGTAGATGGAAGACTCTCTCTCTCTCTTTCTCTGCCACTCAGCTTTCAAATACATAAAGAAATAAATCTCTTTTTTTCTTTTACATTAAAAACTTCTGTTCCTGAGAAGACACTTTGAGAAGGCAAACAAGCCATAGACTGGGAGAAAATATTTGCAAGGCGCCTATCTGATAAAGGGAATGTCCAGATATGGAAAAGCTTTGAAAACCAAATAGGAACAGCCTAGTTCTCTTAAAAAGCAGGCAGTGTGAGCAGTTGGCATAGCAGTTCTGATCCAGTTAAGAGGCCCACATCCCACACCGGAGTGCCTGGGTCCGTGCTCCCTGCTAACCCTGGAGGCAGCAGGTGATGGTCTGAGTTGTTGGGTTCCTGACACTCACGTGGGCGACCCAGATGGAGCTCCTAGATCCTGGCTTTGGCCCATCCGAGCCCCAGGCAGTGTAGGCACTTGGAAAGTGAACCGGTGAGTGGGAGCTTTGGCTGGCTGTCTCTGTGTCTCAAAAGAAATATAAATTTATATTTTTTTGAAAAACAACCACCTACATTTGTTGCTGGTTGTTGTAAGATGGGGGACCCCCCTTTCTGACTCTTTTCCTTTTTTTTTTTTTTTTTTAGATTTGTTTTATTTATTTAAAAGGCAGAGTTAGAGGGGTCGGCGCCATGGCTCACTTGGTTAATCCTCCGCCTGTGGCACTGGTATCCCATATGGGTGCCGGGTTCTAGTCCCGGTTGCTCCTCGTCCAGTCCAGCTCTCTGCTGTGGCCCGGGAAGGCAGTGGAGGATGGCCCAAGTGCTTGGGCCCTGCACCCGCATGGGAGACCAAGAGGAAGCACCTGGCTCCTGGCTTCAGATTTGGGCAGCGTGCCGGCCATAGCGGCCATTTGGGGGGGTGAACCAACGGAAGGAAGACTTTTCTCTGTCTCTCGCTCTCACTGTCTATAACTCTACCTGTCAAATTAAAAAAAAAAAAAAAAGGCAGAGTTAGAGACATAGAGAGAGAGAGAGAGAGTGAGGTCTTCCACCTGTTGGTTTACTTCCCAAATGACCACAATGGCCGGAGCTGCACCATCAGAAGCCAGGAGCCAGGAGCTTCCTCCATGTCTCCCATGAGGATGCAGGGGCCCAAGCACTTGGACCATCCTTTACTGCTTTCCCAGGCGCATTTGCAGGGAGCTAGATCGGAAGTGGAGTAGCCAGGACCTGAACCGGCCCCCATACGGGACGCCAGTGCTGCAGGCTGTGGCTTTAACTTGCTGTGCCACAGCACCAGCCCCCCTAAAATATATATATATATTTTTAAAAATTTCTAGGTAGGCAAAATATCTAAATAGTTCACCAAAAAAAAGATATACGGGTAGAAAAAAAGCTCATGAAAGCATGCAGAACATAATTACACACTAAGGAAATACATATTAATTCACAATGAGATACTAGCACTGCATACTTGCTTACGTATCTAATTAGGAAGACTTGGAGCTAGAGTTGTGGTGCAGCTGGTTAAGCCTCCTCAGACGCCACATCCCATCCCAGCATCCCTGCTGCTCCACTTCGGGTCCAGCTCCCAGTTCACGAGCCTGGGAAGGCAGCAGAACATGGCTCAAGTGGCTGGGTCCCTGACACCCACGTAGGGGATCCAGATAAAGTTCCTGGCCCCTGGCTTTGGCCTGGCCCACCCCTAGCCAATGTCACCATTTGGGGAGTGAACCACTGGATGGAAGACCTCTCTCTCTGTCTGTAACTTTGCCTTTCAAATAAATAAAGAGTAACTCTGTAGAAAATAAAATAAGAAAGAAACCAATGGTGCCAAGTGTTGACGAGTGTGGAGAAACTCAAACTCTTGCACACTGTTGGAAGAAAGGGAAAATGGTGAATCTACTTTGGGAAACAGTTGGTAATTTCTTTTTTAAATTTTTAAATTTATTTATTTTTCATTTTTATTTTGAAAGGCAGAGAGACCTGTTGCAGGTATTTGGGGAGTGAACCGGTGGATGGGTATTTTCTTTTTGTCTTTCTGCCTTTCCAGTAAATTTTCAAAATCAAAAAACCACTTAATTGTACATTTTACATGACTAAATTATAGGTATTTGAATTATATCTCAATAAAGTTGTAACCCAAAACAGGTGGCTCATTTTATGGAATAGTGTTGCATGAATACCCTACAGTTTGTCTCTCCATTCACTTGTTGATGAACAAATTTGCAGATTTGGGGATTAAAAACTAACTTGGGCAGGCATTTGACTTAGGGGTTAAGGCGGCAGCTAAGACGACCACCTCCCTTACAAGAGTGCCTGGGACTGAAACTCACCTCTGGATCCCGATTTCAGTTTCCTGCTAATGCAGACCCCAGAAGGCAGAAATAATGGCCTGAGTGGTTGGTTTTGTACCACACATATGAAAAAATTAGACTGAGTTCCTGGCTCCCAGTTTTGGCTGGCCCAGAGAAAGCCTGGGCCGGGCCTCTCTTTATCTCCCTCCTCCCCCTCTCTCCCTCTCTCCCTTTCCCTCCCTCTCTCCCTCCCTCCCTCTCTCCCTCTCTCCCTCCCTCTCTCACTCTCTCCCTCCCTCCCTCTTTCCCTCTCTCCCTCACTCTCTCCCTCCCTCCCTCTCTCCGTCTCTCTTTCCCTCCCTCCCTCTCTCCCCCTCTCTCCCTCTGTCTCTCCCTCTCTCTTTCCCTCCCTCCCTCTCTCCCCTTCTTTCCCTCTCCCCCTCTCTCCCTCTCTCCCTTTCCTTCCCTCTCTCCCTCTCTCTTTCCCTCCCTCCCTCTCTCCCTCTCTCTCCCTCTCTCTTTATCTCCCTCTCTCCCCTCTCTCCCTTTCCCTCCCTCTCTCCCTCTCTCCCTCTGTCTCTCCTTCTCTCTTTCCCTCCCTCTGTCTCTCCCTCTCCCTCCCTCCCTCTCTCCCTCTCTCTCCCTCCCTCTCTCCCTCTCTCTTTCCCTCCCTCCCTCTCTCCCCTCTCTCCCTCTCTCTTTCCCTCCCTCCCTCTCTCCCCTCTCTCCCTCTCTCTTTCCCTCCCTCCCTCCCTCTCTCCCCCTCTCTCCCTCTGTCTCTCCCTCTCTCTTTCCCTCCCTCTCTCCCTCTCCCCCTCTCTTCCTCTCTCCCCCTCTCTCTTTCCCTCCCTCCCTCTCCCTATCTCTCCCTCTGTCTCTCCCTCTCTCTTTCCCTCCCTCCCTCTCTCCCCTTCTTTCCCTCTCCCCCTCTCTCCCTCTCTCCCTTTCCCTCCCTCTCTCCCTCTCTCTTTCCCTCCCTCCCTCTCTCTTTCCCTCCCTCCCTCTCTCCCTCTCTCTCCCTCTCTCTTTATCTCCCTCTCTCCCTTTCCCTCCCTCTCTCCCTCTGTCTCTCCTTCTCTCTTTCCCTCCCTCTGTCTCTCCCTCTCTCCCTCTCCCTCCCTCCCTCTCTCCCTCTCTCTCCCTCCCTCTCTCCCTCTCTCTTTCCCTCCCTCCCTCTCTCCCCTCTCTCCCTCTCTCTTTCCCTCCCTCCCTCTCTCCCTCTGTCTCTCCCTCTCTCTTTCCCTCCCTCTCTCCCTCTCCCCCTCTCTTCCTCTCTCCCCCTCTCCCCCTCTCTCTTTCCCTCCCTCCCTCTCTCCCCTTCTTTCCCTCTCTCCCTCTCTCCCTTTCCCTCCCTCTCTCCCTCTCTCTTTCCCTCCCTCCCTCTCTCTCCCTCTCTCTTTATCTCCCTCTCTCCCCTCTCTCCCTTTCCCTCCCTCTCTCCCTCTCTCCCTGTGTCTCTCCTTCTCTCTTTCCCTCCCTCTGTCTCTCCCTCTCTCCCTCTCTCTCCCTCCCTCTCTCCCTCCCTCTCTCCCTCTCTCCCTCTCCCTCTCTCCCTCTCTCTCTCTCTCTCTCCCCCCTCTGCTTCATGTAGTCTGCCTTTGACACCCATCACCCTCCCCAGAGGCCTGTCCTAGCCCCAGATGCTGCAGGCATTTGGGGGCGTGAACCAGTAGGTGGAATCTCCCCCTTTCTCTATCACTCTGCCTCTCAAGTAGATGGAAATAAATATTCTAAAAAAGAAAACACATAGGATTATAAAGAAAGCCAATTATTTTGTAATATAGTTAGTTAAGTAAACGTGCATTTTTGTGCTAATGCATTAAATCTGTTCTGGTGGCAGCTTAATAACCACCACTCTTTTCCGGTAGCAGTGAGCATGATGACACCTCAGGACATCTGCAGCGGTTCTGTGATGTGAAAACATCCAATGCACCGGGCTTTTTAAAAACAAAAACAAAAACACGGCTGGCACCACGGCTCACTAGGTTAATCCTCCGCCTGCGGCGCCAGCACACCGGGTTCTAGTCCCGGTCTGGGCGCTGGATTCTGTCCCGGTTGCTCCTCTTCCAGGCCAGCTCTCTGCTGTGGCCTGGGAGGGCAGTGGAGGATGGCCCAAGTGCTCGGGCCCTGTACCCGCATGGGGAGACCAGGAGAAGCACCTGGCTCCTGGTTTCGGATCAGTGCGGTGCGTCAGCCGCAGCGGCCATTGAGGGGTGAACCCATGGAAAAAGGAAGACCTTTCTTCCTGTCTCTCTCTCACTGTCCACTCTGCCTGTCAAAAAATTAAAAAAAAAAAATAAAAATGAATTAAAAACTACATTCACAACTGAAGCCTGGGATAAATTTAGAAGTGAGTGAAAGTTTTCCCATTGAAGTCCAGATCTCCATATTCTTCTTTGTTAAATATCTATTTATTTGAAAAGTCGGGTGACAAAGAGAAGGAGAAGGAGAGGCAGAGGGAGATATCTTCCAAGCACTGGTTCACTCTCCAAATGCCCACAACCATCTAGACTGGGCCAGGCCTTAAGCCAGGAGCCAGGGACTCCTTCTGGCTCTGCCACATGGATGGCTGGGACTCAAGTACTTGGGCCATCACCCGCTGCTTCGCAGGCACGTTAGCAAGGTGCTGGATGAAAAGCAGAGTAACTAGGACTTGAATCAGACACTCAAGTACGGGCTGTGGGCGTCCCAAGTGGCGATTTAACCTGCTGTGCCCTGGTCTCTATGCTCTCCTGGTGGACTCCAGGTTTAGCCTTCGAGCTGTAAATCATCGCTCTGCTATGCGCACCTCCACCTGGAGGGCCATCTCCTGACCGAAGGTGGTGGCCATCATATCTGCTTCTTGAATTAGCACTCGGATTAGGGCTGTAGGCGGGGCATCTCCAGGGGAGGTTTGACCTGCTGTGCCACAGCGCCCGCCCTGTCCATTCGTTACTGCTGAATTGTGGGAGTTCTTTATCGGATAAGTGGTTTGTAAACAGTATCTCCCAGGTGTACTTTATCATTTCATTCTCTTAACAGTCTTTGGCAGAGAAAAATGTTGAAGTTCAGTGAAATCTGCAAGAAACATGTTCAATCCAGTCTGGTGTGGAGGCAGAATCAGCGAGCAGTGTGACACCTGGGAAGACGCAGCGCGCTGGCTGGTAGGCTTAACCCATTGCACCACAGTGCTTCCTGAAAGCAGCTCTGCTTCCATTTGTAATTCATGTAGGCAAGATATTGTCAGATAGTCTTGTGTGCACATTGCTCACTTGTCAGATTATCTAGTGGAATGAAGTCCTAGGAATGTACTTCATGGGACAGAGGTTACAGACATTCAGAATGTTGGTATATATTGCTAGAACACCATTTAGAACTACAGCCTTTTGCTGCAAGCTTGAGAACATAGATAAATCTTTCTCCAGGAGCTGACATTGCAGCACAGTGGGTTGGGCCACTGCCTGCAATGCCGGCATCCCATATGGGCACCAATTCAAGTCTCAGCTGCTTCACTTCCAATCCAGCTCCTTGCTGATGCACCTGGGAAGGTAGCAGAAGCTGGGCCAAGTCCTTGGGCCTCTGCACCCATGTGGGAAATGCGAATGGAATTTCAGGCTCCTGGCCCAGCCCCAGTCATTGTAGCCACTTGGGAGGTGAACCAGTGGATGGAAGATCTCTTTCAGTCTCTCCCTCTCTTACTGTAACTCCATTTCAAATAAAAGAGATACATCTTTAAAAAAAAATCTTTCTCCATAGGTAAATCTCTTCCAATATGGTAGCTGAGACATGCAGTGTTACTGCTCTTTTGATTTGCATTTCATTGACTACTGATGAGGCTTAACATCATCTTACATTTATCAGTCATTTGTTGTCGCTCCCCCTCTTCGTGGAGGAACGACACTAAGCCCTGCCTAGGCTTCATATCCGAGTCACGGCACCATTATGTCGCTCCCCCTCTTCATGGAGGAGCAACACTAAACCCTGCCTAGGCTTCACATCCGAGTCACGGCACCATTATGTCGCTCCCCCTCTTCGTGGAGGAACGACACAGGACCCTGCGCTGTTCTTTTGTCTGCTCGGCCCTTCCCGGGTTTGCTGCTGGTTCTTCCCGGGTTGGCTACTATCCCTTCCACCTCCGTGGAAGGGCAGTTCCCCCTGGCCACATTCCCCACTTCCGCAGGGGAGAGGCACACCGCCGGCCGGTTCTCTCGGGGGCTGCACAGGTGTTCCTTCAGCTAGATGTTCCCCATAGATGTTCCTGGTGCATGCCGTTTCTCTCCTCCTTTATAGTCCTCCTCCGCCAATCCTAACTCGGCTGCCCACACGCCGAGTACGCTGCTCTCCTCCAATCAGGAGTAGGTCCTACAGTTTATTGGTTGAACTGGAGGCAGCTGCGTAGAAGCTGTTTTCTCCTCTCCCAGCGCCATATTGTGGGAGAGCAGATGCATAGAATAAGTCTTAATTCCAGTAACAATATAGTCCGAGTTGCTCCCCACAGTGGGAGAGCAGATGCATAGAATAAGTCTTAATTCCAGTAACAGTATAGTCCGAGTTGCTCCCCACAGATCCCCCTTTCTTTTTATTTTTTGGCGTTGATACGCGCCTGTCTTCGGTGTCCCGCGGCACACACTCTGCTCTACTTGCTAGAGTTGCCACAGGCTCTTACAAGTCCTATCAATCAGGAAAACCGAATCCGGGTCCTCTCGCCATTGTGAGGAGGTTTTTAGGCGCTGATGCGTGCCTGTGTTCGGTGCCCTGCAGCGCATGCTCTGCTCTGCCCGCAGGGGCTTACAAAACCTATCAGGCAAACCGAATCCAAGCCTTCTCATTGCCGTATTGTGGGGGAGACTTATTAGTGTTGGTTTGTGCCTATCTTCGGTGACCTGCAGCTCATGCTTTGGTCGAGCTGCTTGCTGGTGCTTACCGCCTTAAATCAGGCAGACCGAATCCAAGCCTCCTAATTGTTGCATTGTGGGGAAGCCTTACTGATGTTAATTCGTGCCTGTCTTCGGTGACCTGCGGCGCATAAGCTGCTAGCCGCCCAGGTGCTCATCGCCTCACTTAATCAGGCAGACCGAATCCAAGCTTTCTCATTGCCATGTTGTAGGGAGGCCTCTCTATTTCTCTATTTCTCTATCTCCGGGCATTCCTATTTCTCCCATTTTACTTCTATCTTCCAGCATTCCTATTTCTCTCATCTTACTTCTAAGCTTCTGTTTCTCTTATCCCCGCAGCTTCCCGGCGCCTCGCCCTGCCAGCAGCTTCACGGCTCCGCGCAGCTTCCCGGCGCCTCGCCCCGCCCCGAGGCTGCTTCTCAGCGCCTCGCCGGCTCTGAGCCGCTTCAGCCTCTCTCATCTGCGCGGCTCGGCTCTGCGCGGCCTGGCCTCGTGCGCTCCGCGGTCTCCACGCCCCTCGCGTCTGCACCACGGCCTCGCGCCAGCCCCGTTCCCTATCTATTCACGCCCCGTGCTCTCTCTGCACGCGGCGGCTTCCGCGAGTAACACAGCGTAGCTTACGTGTCCGCCACTAGCATTCAATCTAAGTTCCCCGGGCTAGCCTGGCGAATTCAACCCAGCATACGTCTCCGCCCCACGATTTGGCTTCCCGTCCTTTGCTCCCCGGGCTAATCAGACGGATCCCAATCTGGCTTACGTTTCAGCTTCTGGTTTCAACTTTTCGCCCCCCATTCCCGGGCTAACTTGAGAATCCCAAAGTGGCTTTCGTATCCGCCTCGGCCTGCCCCCCGCGGCTTCAATTTCCCTAACATTTTTCTCTACCCGGTATGTTTCCCCAAGCTTTCCTCCAACAATACTCCTCCCTCATTTCTCCTGGCCTCTCCCCACAGTCCGCATCCGAGTCTGTTTGTTCTAGCTTTTCACTTTCGCTTTCGACCTAAGAGATTTCTCCCAGCTTCCCCCCGTAGTCCGTATCTGAGTCTATTTGTTCTAGCTTTCACTTTCGCTTTCAACCTTAGAGATTTCTCCCAGCTTCCCCCCGTAGTCCGTATCTGAGTCTATGCCTAGGCTTTCAATAGCTTCTTCCGGCACCCTTTTCGTCCGGCTTTTCCCTAGGCTGTTTGCTAGTCTCTCTCTCCGGTAATTTCCCAGTTCTTCCCGTTTCTTCCCTCCTAAGTTTCATATCCGTCCTAGGTTTCCTAATCCGAGTCATTTCTTCCCTCCTAAGTTTCCTATCCGAGCTAGGTTTCCTATCCGAGTCACGGCACCATTATGTCGCTCCCCGTCTTCGTGGAGGAACGACACAGGACCCTGGGCTGTTGTTTCGTCTGCTCGGCCCTTCCCGGGTTTGCTGCTGGTTCTTCCCGGGTTGGCTACTATCCCTTCCACCTCCGTGGAAGGGCAGTTCCCCCTGGCCACATTCCCCACTTCCGCAGGGGAGCGGCACACCGCCGGCCGGCTCTCTGGGGGGCTGCACAGGTGTTCCCTCAGATGTTCCCCTTAGATGTTCCTGGTGCATGCCGTTTCTCTCCTCCTTTATAGTCCTCCTCCGCCAATCCTAACTCGGCTGCCCACACGCCGAGTACGCTGCTCTCCTCCAATCAGGAGTAGGTCCTACAGTTTATTGGTTGAACTGGAGGCAGCTGCGTAGAAGCTGTTTTCTCCTCTCCCAGCGCCATATTGTGGGAGAGCAGATGCATAGAATAAGTCTTAATTCCAGTAACAATATAGTCCGAGTTGCTCCCCACAGTGGGAGAGCAGATGCATAGAATAAGTCTTAATTCCAGTAACAGTATAGTCTGAGTTGCTCCCCACAATTTGTGTTTCCTTAACAGTTCATTCATAGCCCCCATAAGACCTCCTTCTAAAAATGAGAAAACGGAGGTGACTGTAACAGGCACGTTATCAATCCTTCAGTGGAAAGAAGCTGATCTAGAGAAAATAAATAACATCAAATAGTACAAGTGTGCTTTCTATTTATTTTGAATTCACAGACTGTGACGCCATGAGCAGAATTGCCTGGAAGCAGCTCTGGAAGTTTGTTCATGGCTACCTGGGCCTGCTCTTGGTGGAGGGAGCTGTTCAAATTCATCCTAATCCTGGGAACCACAGGCAGTGACCCGGAAAGCCCCACAGGCCTGCGCAGGAACACACTGAGAGTCAGGGCATCCCTCCCCATCTCGGCTTCCCGTTATTGCTGGCCTGTGGACCAGGCTGATCCTCTGAGCACACCAGTCACTGCGGGTAATTAAACAGGGGCCATGCGAGCATGTCCATAAATCAGCCAAGGAGGTGGGGTATGCTTAGCTGAACCCACATGCCAACTGCATCTTTGACCAAATAAAAAGGCTGTTTTACACTTTTTAAAAAAATTCTAAATTACTTTTTACTGTGGAAAAAAAAAATGCATGCCATAAAACCTACCATCTTTCCCATTTCTTTCTTCTTTTTTTTTTTTAAGATTATTTTTATTTGAAAGAGTTATGGAGACAGTGGGAAAGATAGAGAGAGAGAGAGAGATCTTCCATCACCTGGTTCACTCCCCAGATGGCCACAACAGCTGGAACTGGGCCAGACCAGAGCCAGGAGCTTCATCTGGACCTCCCATGTGGGTGGCAGGGACCCAAGCACTTGGGCTGTCTTCTACTGCTTTTCCCAGCCCATTAGCTGGGAGCTAGATCAGAAGTGGAGCAGTTGGGATTCGAACCAGCACCCATATGGGATGCTGACGCTGCAAATGGTGGTTTAACCCACTACACCACGATGCTGGCCCTCCTCTTCCCCATTTCTAAGCATCCTGACTGTGGTGTTCAGTAGATTCATAGTGCGGTGCCGCCAGCCCCTAAGAGCTCTCCATTTCCACCCGCCCGCTTCGGCCCTCCACAGCCACCACTCTGCTTTCTGTGTTTGTGAACTGGAATCCTCTAGATAGCTCATGGAAGTGCAGTCATGCGGTATTTGTCTTCTGGGGACTGGCTTATTTCATTTAGCATAATGTCTTCCAGGTTCATGTCCATGTTGTCACGTGATGGGTGGTGTTTGTCTGCTAACTGATGCTTGGGCTGCCCCTGCATCTGCACTGTTATGAAGTGTTGCTATGAACGTGGGTGTGTGAATACCTCTTTAAGATCCTGTTTTGGGGGCTGTACTGTGGCATAGCAGGTTAAGCTACCACCTGCCGTGCTGGCATCCCACATGGGTGGCTTCTCTACTTCCGATTCAGTTCCCTGCTACTGTGCCTGAGAGAGCACCAGAAGATGTCCAAGTGCTTGGGCCCCTGGATCCATGTGGGAGACCTGGATGGAACTTCAGGCTCCTGGCTTTGGCCTGGTCCAGCCCCACCTGTTGCGACCATTTCGGGAGTGAACCAGTGGATGGAATACCTCTCTCTCTCTCTCTCTCTCTGTCTCTCTCTCTCTCTGTCCTTTCTTTATCTATAACTCTGCCTTTCAAATAAATAAAATAAATCTTTTTTAAAAATCCTGTTTTCAGGTCTTTTGGATATTTAAGAGTTCTTCAAAAACTTCATGGAGATGTGTATTAGGAGAAAACTTGCGGCCGGCGCCGCGGCTCACTAGGCTAATCCTCCGCCTTGCGGCGCCGGCACACCGGGTTCTAGTCCCGGTTGGGGTGCCGGATTCTGTCCCGGTTGCCCCTCTTCCAGGCCAGCTCTCTGCTGTGGCCTGGGAGTGCAGAGGAGGATGGCCCAAGTGCTTGGGCCCTGCACCCCATGGGAGACCAGGAGAAGCACCTGGCTTCTGCCATTGGATCAGCGCGGTGCGCCAGCCGCAGCGTGCCGGCCGCGGCAGCCATTGGAGAGTGAACCAACGGCAAAAGGAAGACCTTTCTCTCTGTCTCTCTCTCTCTCACTGTCCACTCTGCCTGTCAAAAAAAAAAGGAGAAAACTTGCATGATTTCAAATTTTTGTTATACCAAAACAAACTTGTCTTTTAATTCTATTTTTCCATGGCTGTTTTGAAATACTCCTTTATATTCAAAAGTGGAATTGCTTGATCATGTGGTTAAAAGCCACATGTTTTAGAAAAAAGGAAATCTTAGTATTAAAAGAAATGTGATTATCTTGAAGATAAAGTTTGTGTGATTTTTAAGATAAAACATAGCCCTTCAAAATTCTTTCACAGAATCATAAGCTGAACATTTTTCTCTATTCTGCCTTTATAAACATTTATTTGGTAGAAAGCTTAAAAAGCACTCTTTCAGGACAAGTAGAATAAAAAGAGGCTCATGGGGCTTTTTGAGAGGGCGTTTGGTATGGTGGTTAGGACGTGACTTGGAACATTTGCATCCTGTATCTGGGTGGCTGGGTTCAAGTCCCAGCTCCTCTGCGTCCAATCCGGCTTCCTGCTAATGTGCACCTTGCAAGTCAGCAGGTGATGGCTCAAGTTCTTGGATTCCTGCCACCCGTAGAAGAGACCCAGAAGGAGTTCCTGGCGTCTGGTTTTGGCCTGGCCCAGCCCTACCATTGCAGCCATCCGGGAGAATGAAGCAGACCTCTGTGTCTTTCAAGCAAATAAATAAATATTGTAAAAAGAAAGTGAAAAAAGAGTGTACAGAATGGGAGAACATGCTTCCAAATCATATCTCTGATAAGGGATTTGTATCTAGAATACATAAAACTCTAATAAAAATAATAAAAAGATAACCCTATTAAAACTGGGCAAAGGATCTAAATAGGAAGGAAGAATGAATTCATGCTACAAGGCGGATGAATCTTTTTTTTTTTTTAATAGTGTGGTTGATTATTTTTAAAATGTATGTACTTATTTTATTTGGAAAGCAGAGAAAGAGCAAGAAATAGATATCTTCCATCTCCTGGGTCACCCCCCAGATGCCCACAACAGCTGGAGCTGGGCCAGGCTGAACCTGGAGTCAGAACTCCATCAGGTCTCCCACGGGGAGGGCAGGGACCAAATGCCCGCGCCATCACTGCTGCCCCCCGCCCCCCCAGGATGCTCAGAGCAGCAGGAAGCTGGAACTGGGAGCAGAGCCAGGGCTGGAATGCAGCACTATGATAAGAGATGAGAGTGTGCTAAGCAGCATTTTAACCACCGTGCCGAGGCCCACTCAAAGAATCACATCAGAAAAGATAACTTCCTGTATGAGTCCGTCCACCTGATGTGTGTCTAACAGGGAGATCTGTGCAGACAGCAAGTAGGTTCATGGTTGTTCGTGACTGGGTGGGGGAGAGGAGGGCGGGGGGAAGAGTGACAGCGAGAGGGCACAGCGTGGCGATGAAGATGTCCTGAACTTGCCCGTGGTTGTGTCTGCGAATATACTGAAACCACTGGACGGTGCACTTGCAGTGGGTAAATGGTACGGTATGTGGATTAGATCTCAGTTAAGCTGTTTGGGATGGAAAAGGAAGGATTTATTAGAAAGATACAGACTCCTGTAGCCCAGGGGCAAGGCTTGGGCCTGCTGGGTCCCTGAAGGCCCTGGAACTCTGGCCCAGAGCACGGGTGTTTAGAGGGTGCCCCTCACCCGCAGCATCTACACCACCTGAGCACTCCTTAGAAAAGCAAATCCGGGGCCGCCGCAAGGCCGAGGATTAGCCTATTGAGCCACGGCGCCGGCACACCGGGTTCTAGTCCCAGTCAGGGCGCTGGATTCTGTCCCGATTGCCCCCCTTCCAGGCCAGCTCTCTGCTGTGGCCCGGGAAGGCAGTGGAGGATGGCCCAAGTGCTTGGGCCCTGCACCCCATGGGAGACCAGGAGAAGCACCTGGCTCCTGCCTTCGGATCAGCACAGTGCGCTGGCTGCAGCGCACCGGCCACGGTGGCCATTGGAGGGTGAACCAATGGCAAAGGAAGACCTTTCTCTCTGTCTCTCTCTCTCTCACTGTCCACTCTGCCTGTAAAAAAAAAAAAAAAAAATCCGTGGGCCACACCCCAGGTCTACTGCACGAGGAACTCTGAGTGTAGGACACAGCCATGCGTTGGGGGGGGTGGGGGTGGGATTGGATTGTTTTTTAAGATTTATTTATTTATTTCGAAGTCATAGAGAGAGAGAGAGTAATTCCATCTGCTTGTTCACTCCCCAGATGGCAACAAAGGCCAGGCCAAAGCCAGGAGACAGGAAGTCCATCTGGGTCTCCTACGTAGGTGGGACATCTCCCTCTGATTCCCCAGGTGTATAAGCAGGGAGCTGGATTGAAGTAGAGCAGCCAGGACTCGAACTGGCACTCCCATATGGATGGTGGCAGCTTACCCACTATGCTACAACGCTGGCCCTGCATTTCTTATTTAAGGATTTACTTATTTATTTGTAAGGCAGAGAAGCAGACAGACAGGGATCTTCCATCTGCTCGTTCATGCCCCCAATCGCTGCCATGGCTGGAGCTGCTTCAGGATAAAGCCAGGAGCCAAAACTCCATCTGGGTCTTCCACAAGGGTGGTAAAGGCCCAAGTATCTGGGCCATCCGCTGCTGCTTTCCCAGGTGCATAAGCAGGGAGCTGGATTAGAAGTGGAGCAGCTGGGACTCGAACCAGCACTATAATATACGATACCAGAGTTGCAGGTGGCAGCTTAGCTCACTGCACCACAGCGCTGGCCCCAGCAACATGTGTTTTGGCTGGCCTACTAGGTGAAGGCAGCGCACCCTCAAGTCTGAGGGTCACTGGCCTGGAGCCCCGTGCGGAAGCCAGGAAGGTTTGCACCTCCTCCCTGCTCTTCCTCCATGGACACAGCAGGCTTTCTACACGGTTGCTGCTTCTCCCCCCAAGCTCTCACTCTCATCTTCATGGTAGCAAGTGGCTAACAACAATTCCTAACTTTTAAAATGTATTTATTTATTTAAAAGGCAGACTTACAGAGAGAGAGGGAGACACAGAGAGAGATTTTCTATCCACTGGTTCACTCCTCAGATGGGCATAACAGCCAGCGTTGGGCCAGGCCAAAGCCAGGAGCTTCTTCCAGGTCTCCTACATGGATACAGGGGCCCAAGCACTTGAGCCATCTTCCACTGCTTTCCCAGGCCACAGCAGAGAGCTGGATGGGAAGTGGAGCAGGGAATTAGAGCAGCCAGGACTTGAAGCGGCACCCACACGGGATGTCAGCACTGCAGGCAGCAGTCCAACCCACTACACCACAACACCAGCACCTTCTTTAACTGTTTTTTTTCCTTTCTGGATTTGGCCCTGCACATCCCATGTCCTGGGGGACCCCTTGATCCATCCATGACAACTGGTCACTCAAGAACTGAAGAGTGTGGCGTGATGCGTTCACTCTTTGGGGGTACCCAAAGGGAGAAGAGTTGAGGGGATTCTCAGCTAGAGGCACTTGGAGACGTTGGGTGCATTTTCGTTGTTACCACCACTGGGGTGTGTTAGTGACAGTTGCTGTGCCTGCGCCTGCGTCAGACCTGCACCGGGAGACTGCCCTGCCCGAGTGCTAAGAAACTCTTCTGTAGCAGAATGAAGGTCTGACCATCAACCCAGCTGCACACCCGAGTCACATGGAGCTTGAACGTACCTAGACTGAAGGGCGAGTCTCGTGGCCCAGCGGGTTAAACGCCATCACGCACAAGCATCTATCAGAATGCTACTTTGAGACCTGGCTACTCTGCTTCCAATCCAGCTTCTTGCTAATGCATTCTGGGAAGGTAGTGGATGATGACACAAGTGCTGGGCCCCTGATACCCATGTGGGAAACCCAGATGAAGCTCCTGGATCCTGGTTTGGCTTGGCACAGATCTGGGTATTGCAGGCATTTGGGGAATGAACCAGCAAACAGAAGATCTCTTTTTCTCTCTCTCTGTCTCTCTCTCTGTCACTCTATAAATAAATGTATCTTTCATATAAATAAATCAATCTTTGGGGCCGGCGCCGTGGCGCAGTAGGTTAATCCTCTGCCTGCTGTGCCAGCATCCCATATGGGCACCGGTTTGAGTCCTGGCTGCTCCTCTTCTGATCCAGCTCCCTGCATGGCCTAGGAAAGCAGTGGAAGATGGCCCAAGTGCTTGGGCCCCTGCACAGCATGGAAGACCAGGAGGAGGCTCCTGGCTCCTGGCTTCAGATCGGCACAGCTCCGGCCATTGCAGCCATTTGGGGAGTGAACCAATGGAAGGAAGACCTTTCTCTCTATTTCTCCCTCTCACTGTCTGTAACTCTGCCTCTCAAGTAAATAAGTAAAGTCTTTAAAAAATAAATAAATCTTTTAAAAAATGTACTTCCATTAAAATATACACACACACATACACACACCCTTAGACTGGAGCTCCAGAGCCAGACCTATAGTTTCCTACTTAGTTGGTCTAGCGGTGTACCCAGGCATTTGGTATTTTTTATAGTCCCTGCCCCCAAATGATTTTAATGTGCAGCTGGTTTGATAGTTGTGATGAGAGTCAGTGCCATCAAAGAGGGTGGGGCAGGGAGGCTGCAGTCCCGTGAGGTGAAATATCTGGGAAATGGAGGAAGAGGAACA